GGCACTCTGACACAAAGATGCGGCTAATTACTGACCGGGTCAGCACCGGATGGCCACCCACCTTTTCAGCCGTCAGCTCCTTTCGCTTATCGAATAGTTTTTGTCGAGCGTTTGTTGTGGCGAATTTGGCGATGATGGGCCGTACCTTGCCTGGCTGTGGACGTCCAAGGCGGTGGGACCGGTCCAGGTTGTCGGCCGTCAGATTGAGACCGGCAGCCCGGCCGACGTCCAGCACCAGGTTGTCTGTCGCCTCACCGCTCGTCTCCGGCACCCCGGTGATCAGCAGGCTGGTGCGACGGTTGTACGCATCCAGATCTTCGATGCGCCGCTCAGCTTCCTCGAGCCTGTTTTTGGTGGAAGACAGCTCAGTCTCGAGCGACGCTATTCGGGCTTCAGCCGCTTCATTGACCCGGTTGATTGCTTGAGCAACGGCTTCCGTTACCAGGTCCTGGAGTCGTTGGACGAATTCAAATTCACTTAAGATTTTCTTGGCTTCTTCCTTAATATCGATTTCAGCCATGTCAGCCATAGTATCTCACCACCCGCCGCCTGGCTCCCTTAGTTAGAACTAATCACTGGAAGGGTCGCGGCGCACTGGGTCCAGGCACGGAGGGGCAGGGGACACGTCCGTTCCGGCCGGCGGTCAGGGGACGACACAGACCTCGTCGCAACGACTCCATATGTGTAATGAAAATGCATATTAGAGAATTCAGATGGACATATGAGAAGGCTGGAATACGGAGAATGCTGTTCAGTCGAATGCTGAGTACGTTACGCACTAAATCGCAGCGTATACGCTGCGATTTCAGCCTATTATCTATGCATGCAACTTGCAAGCAGGTATCAATGTTCATATTTACTTGATGTTTGGAAGTATTAAATTCTGTCCTACCCTTTATTATAACATACTCGCATAGCCTAGCTGAGTGCGCCGCGGCTGAAATGAAGGCGCTTGGTACTTATTTGTCTCATCTAACGGAAAACGGTTTCCGGTAACCCATTGTTTATGGCTTCGGCTAGGCGAAAACTTTTGTGGCTAGTAGTAGAAACAAAGTTCAACAGGTGACTGACATTAGTCTGATTGGATAAATCTGATAGGTTGACTGTGGGACGATTTTCCATTCTCACAACCAATCAGTTGCCTGAGATGGTAGGCTGTGCCGCATCACACAGGCTGGGTGTCACGGCCTGTCCCTGCGATCATACGCTCACCAAAGGGAAAAGACACGCTTAGTTGCGTGATAGTCGGCACTCGGCACAAACTTGCGTTCCAGTCAATTGGTATAGCCTTTGTGATGAGTGCGACATCACTTTATATCACTTTCCCATAGACCTCCGTCTACCTACCGATAAATTTGTTCCAGTAATCGTCTGTCTTTACTCACACACCGTAGCGAGCTGGTTTGCCTGATATTTTTATTGTAATAATTTCGCACACATGCAAGATTACCTTTAATTATAATAGTTCAAAGCTGAGTGCTACTCACTCTCCGTATGATTGCAGTGAACCATTACCGAGTTAATAGCTTGAGAGCTAGAGAGCTTATAGCATGGACGACGACGTCTTTAATCTTCACTGCACTGCACCTTTAAGTGATCGTGTTGTTGAAAGTTGAATGGATGTGCTTTTATCTGGCTGCATCGAGCTGCACACTGCGTACTGACTCACTATGTTTTGCTGTGGGCTGACAGACACACACAGACACACACGTTCACAAACACAGCAATCATTATTGGACGCTGTCTGAGTCGGCCTGCTCGCGTGCTCGTTCCTGCAGCCTCTTCTCGCGTGACCGCGCCTCCAACCTGTCCGCAGTAGTTCCTCCAGCTTCGCTTCAGACCTGTCCGTGGAAGTTTCTTCACGGCTGCTGCTGACTAGCGCGCGTTCCTCGTCAGTCGTCATGTTCACTGACTGCTGTCATTGCTGCCATTTCCACCATCACTGTCTAACTGAATTCGCTGTGCACCTTGCAGTGCGCACGGTCCTGATCACTGCGCTGCTGAAGCTGTCCGCCATCCTCTCCATCCTTTCCGCTCCACCACCGACCCGTTACCGGCCTCCTGCACAGAGCACCAGACGCCGCCTCGACAGCACGGCTCAGCCAGTGACCGGTCGAGCGGGGCCCAGGTGCTGCGAGCGCCGCCGCCGCTGACAGCCGCCCCGCGCCGCCGACGACGATCTATTCAATGGTGATCGAACGGCGGGCACACGGACGACGCTCAATTAACGCCACGACGAGAACGGATGAACGCCCAATTACCGAACGTTATTGCCACGCCGTTTCTTTGTCTGATGTGAGTGTGTTTGTATGTGTGAGTGTCTCGGATTCGAGCCTTTGGTTGGTCCCAGAAGTCTCGAACAGCAAACTGTGAGCGTATTTGTGTTTCTTCTTAGCCCTTCGTTCTAACAAAACAACCAATCATCACAAACGCTATCACGCGTGATACAGCCTCTGAAACTTTTTAGTTAACTTATCAACAAATATGAGACGTTGGCTGTTCTGATAATGAAAAGCTTTCAGATACAGAAAAACACCATTCCCAGGTTGAGCGTCCATCAATCATCCAACTTATGTAGGACATCGGTCAAAAGACACACTCTCCTTCCTCTCCCCGCTAAGGACATTTGTCGAGGACACCCTCCTTGCAGGCTCGATCAATCTGTGCTCGCTGGTACTGGGTCTGACTGCTCGGAAGCCAAGCTCGTGTCTCTCCGCCGGACATTGGCCGCGTCCCTCCGTGCGGCCGACTGTGGAGTGCGGTGCACCGGCCAGACCGCAGTCCACCGCGCGTGATGGGCCCTCAGAGAGCAAGCGCCGCGCGGGGAAATGTCGCCAACATCTCGCGCGCGCGGCGGGGGCGGCCGCCGGTGGCGATAACGAAACCTCCCGGGAACAGAGGATTGATAAACACGGCCTGGCAGCCGAAACAGAGCCGATGGGATGCGCGCCCCTTTGATGGAGAGCCATGTCGTGTACCGGAGCTGGCTGGAAGGAGGCACGAGATGAAAACAGACAACGGTGTGCTTGGTCCCCCGATCGAGGCCTGGGGAGAAGCCGCCAGAGCTCTTCCCTCCCCCAGCGTGCGTAAAATACGACCTTCAATATATGTATAGGTTAACCGATCTAACCTTGTGAAACTCATCACCTGACTCTTTATTTCTAATTGCCCATCAATTGCGTGAAATACCTAATTGAAGCACTATAAAACATCATCGACTTGTACATTAAATGCAGCTTTTCTAGGTAAAATTCATTGAAGATGCCAATTGCCATCATACATGATACAACAGCGCTCTAAAGTCTGATATCTAAATTGCGATCTATATGATTTTAATCTAAAAATGAATGCACTTTATCTGCAGACTCTCAAAAGACGTTTCCTCATTTTGCACACAACCTGTGCCGTTGTTAGTGCCTTATACAAAGCCCAAGGATGAACACAATGCCTCGGATTTTTTGTGGAAGTCCCTAAGCCCTGCATCAAAGAAGTCGATTCCAAATAGCCGAGAGTCCCGACACACGCAGGATGTTGCGTCACAGAGTCCTGCGTGCACCCAGCCAGGGTGTGAGGTGGCGTCGGACAGGAAAAACTTCCGAGAAACACTTTGATCAGGAACTGTTTGGAAAAACGGTATCCCCGGGAGTTTCCGTCCAAATGTTTGTCACAACCCAGCCACGAGGCTGCAGCTGTTTCTTTTGAGTAAAAACAACGCTGTAGACAGGACCGAGTGACATCAGCTGAACTTCAGCCCGGCAGGAATTGAAAAATGTGGATGTTCGTATCAGAAGCAGGTGTTGTGTCGCGTGCTAATACTGCTCAACGGACAGTGGGAACTGGGGACAAAGTAGGTGTAAAGTCCGCGTCCTCGATAGGCCTGTATTGGCTGGCTGCCCGGCACCGACTGACCCAGCCGGCCAGGAATTGGTCGGCGGTCACAAGATCACGTGATCACAGAGGAGGGCGGGGCGCCACTCGCTACAGTGCGGACAGGCCGGCACGGCACTTAATACACTCAGACACTACACCTCCCCGACACCAAAATGACACATTGAACGAGTCAATGGTCAGAGTTAACAAAACAAAATTAACTGAATCAGTCACGGTTTCTACCGGATAGAATCACGGCACATCAGTGTCCGAAACGATCAGGCGCTCGCCTCACGCGCACAGGATAGCGCCTTTCTTCCCCATCGGCATCCCTCGCTCCCACGCCGTCAGCGACGCGGGCGGGAGACGCGGCTCGGCGGTCCTCGGGCGGCCGAACAGAGTCCCCCGGCTCGTCGACGTCGACAGGGGACGCAGGCCGCACCGCCTCCGCGCCTCCTCCTGGCGAGGCCAGGGCAGTGTCCAGCGGCGTAGCGGCATGCGAGCCGCCGGCGGAGCCAGAGCGCGCTCCAACACCAGGGCGCGGCGAGTCCGGATGGCTGTCGCTCGGCTCCAGGGATCCACGACATCGGCTGGGGGAAAAAGTCGGCACCCGCGTCAAGGACACGGAATCGTTCTCGCCCTCGCGCGAGCGTGCTGCGGGACATGATCGTGGGCGAAGCTGATTGATGTGTCTCTTACAGATGTCACCAGTGTCGAAACGCACTGTAAACATCGGGTGAAAGCACCTGACAATCGAGGCTGGACGCCAAAACGCCTTACCCTGACGGTAGTAGCGAGCGAGCACCATATCTCCTGGAGACAGCGTTGGCCGGCTGGTAGGGTGACGCTTCTTGTGCTGCTGAACTTGGGTGAACTGCTTCGTCCTGACGTTGCGCTCCAGACTGGGCTTCAGGCGGTCAAATCTCGTCACCGGCTGGTAGCCCAGCAGGAGCCGTGAAGGCGTTTCACCGGTCGTAGCATGCCGGGTGGTTCTGTAGAAAAACAGCCATTTTGAGATACGATCACTTACTTGATCAGCTGACATCTTGTTGAGCCGAATCTTCAGCTCTCGCACCGCTCTCTCAGCCAGCCCGTTGGAAGACGGCATGTATGGAGCGGTTGTCCTGTGAACGATTGCATTTCTGGTGAGGAAAGTCTGGAATTCCTCACTGGTAAAAGTAGGTCCGTTGTCTGACACTATCATGTCAGGAAGCCCAAAGCGACTGAATATGGCAGTGAGACGAGAAATCGTAGCCTGAGCAGTGATCGACGTCATCTCTTCAACCTCGATCCATTTTGAAAATGCGTCAACTAACACCAGATAGTACCTTCCACGCACAGGCCCAGCAAAATCAACATGCAGGCGAGACCAAGGACGCTGCGGCCACTCCCATGGATGGAGTTCTTCCTGTGGTGGATCGGGACGGTGGAGCTGACAGATATCACATCCGGACGACATTTGCTCTATATCTCGATCAATTCCGGGCCACCAGACTGCGGACCGAGCCATAGATTTCATTTTTACGACACCGAAATGACAGGCGTGCAACTCAGCTAAGACGGTGCTGCGGGCTTTTGGTGGGATGACTATACGATCACCCCACATGATGACATTGCCTAGCTCGTACAGCTCAGCTTGACGGGCACTGTAAGGCCGCAATTCATCGCCCGGTTCGCGTGCCCAACCAGTCCTAATGCAGCGAACCACCTTGCAAAGAACAGGGTCTCGTGCTGTCATCACTCCCAATTTTTCTGGGCTCAGACTTCCTATATCCTCTAACTGAGTCGTTAGGAGCACTCTTTCTGCCTCTGTATCATCGCTGACGGGCATGTCTAATGCCGAGCCCGTCGGCAGTCTGCTGAGGCAGTCGGCGTGAGGAATGTCACGAGTAGATTTGTGACGAATAGTGTAGGAAAACTCTGACAGTCGAAGAGCCCACCTCTTTAGCCTGCTGCTGGTCATCTCTGGCATGCTTCTCGTCTCCCCAAACAAAGCTAGAAGAGGCTTGTGATCTGTTTCCAAGATAAAATGCAGTCCGTACAAGTACTCACGGAACGCAGTAACGCCGAAGATAATTCCCAATGCCTCGCGCTCAATCTGGCTATACCGAATTTCGGCAGAGTTCAGGGATCGAGATGCAAACCCAACCGGTTTTTCTGTGCCGTCTGTGAACCGGTGCGACAGCACAGCGCCGATGCCCCTGGAGGACGCGTCACAGGTGAGTACCAGGGGTACATCTGGGTTATAATGCACTAAAATGCGATCGGAGGCGAGCAGTCGTTTGCACTCATCGAACGCATTTTGTTCTCGTTTTCCCCATGTCCATCCAACATTTTTCTTCAGCAAGGAGAAAAGCGGGCTAAGCACGTGAGCGCGACCTGGCATGAATTTTGAGTAGTAGTTTACCATTCCAAGGAATGATTGCAGCTCTTTTGCGTTCTTTGGCGTCGGGACACCGAAAATGGCATCGAGCTTGGCCTGGGTTGGCCGAACACCATCTTTGCTAATCACGTGTCCCAGATATTCTACTGATGGCACGAAGAAGCTACACTTGTCCTCTCTCACCTTGACGCCAGCGTCCTGGAAACGCCGCAGCACCTCCTCCACAGTCTTCAGCAGCTCCACTTCGTCGCACCCAGAGACGAGCACGTCGTCCAGGAAGACGAACACATTCTGCAGACCGGCCAGCAGCTTCTCCATCTCCCTCTGGAAGAGTCCCACGGCTGCATTTATCCCGAACGGTACACGTTTGTAGCGGTACAGGCCTTTTGGCGTGTTAATGGTTAGCAGATATCTCTGCTTTTCGGACACAGTGAGCTGCTGGTAGGCACGGGACAAATCAAACTTGGCAAAAACTCTTCCCCCAGACATTTGTGCGAACAGATCTTGAACTCGAGGTAATGGGTATCTATCGACACGGATGGCCCGATTGGCCGTCTGTTTAAAGTTGCCACAAATGCGAATTTTACCGTCCGGCTTCAAGACTGGAACGATCTGGCAGGCCCAGTCTGACGACTTCACCGGCTCTAGGACACCGGCTTCCACCTCCGCCTGAAGCTGCTCCTCCACCCGGCGCCTGTAAGCATAGGGTAGGTGTCGTGCTTTCATGAACCGGGGCGACACAGTCTGGTCAACGTCAAAAGAAATTTCGACATCCTTGAAACATCCCAGCTCCTTTGAAAACACATCATTGTACTTGGCCTTCAGCTTGCCTACTACATCGCCAGGTGACTCACCCAGGTTTCTCACCTGTTTGATGCCGCACCAGTCAAGCTTCAGTGTCGCCAACCAATCACGGCCCAGCAGATTCGGCCCGTGTGACTCGACGACCAGAACGGGCAGGTCCAGATGCTGGCTTTCGTACCTCACAACGGCGCTGAACTCACCGATGACAGGGATGGCGTTTCCCGTATACGAGCGCAGCCTCGCCTCTGACCTGGAGAGCGTCAGCCCGCCATGCCCCCCGTTGTCCGACACATTCCGGAACGTTTCGGCGGTCATCAGAGTGCTAGCAGCCCCGGTGTCAACTTCAAACCGCACAGGGACACCGAAAACCAGTACCTCGACGGTGATCGGGGGACACTTGGGGCGGCCAACAGAGTAGATACTGCAAACATCTGACTCACTCTGACTGTCATCATTCTGAACTGCAGGAGGGTCGGTTACAGCATGGACACTTCGAACACACTTGCGTTTCAGGTGCCCCAGCTCACCGCAGCTATGACAGTGATAGTCGCGGAATCGACAGTTCCGTGGGTTATGCATACCACCACATCGATAGCAGTCCTGACGCCGCCTCATGTCGGCTGCTTCGGACCCTCCCGGTCGGTCACCGGTCCCCCGCCCCGGCCGGCCAGCCTGCCGCGACCCGGCGGCCGCCGCGGCTCGACCGCGACCCACTGACCTTGACCCGGTCACGGAACCGGCGCGCTGCCGGTCAGAAATCAGCTGATCGGCGCGGTGTACCGCTTCAGATTCCAGCGAACCGACGGCACGGCCCGCCGCGAGCTGACCCACGTCTCTGGTGACCGACTCCGCCGCCAGCGCCAACCTCTCGGCCATGACGAACGTCAGGGAGTCCTCCTCCGCCAGAAGCCGCTTCTGCAACACGGAGTCTTTGACCCCGCACACAAGTCTGTCACGAAGCATGCTGTCCAAAGTCTGACCAAAATCACATTTTTCGGCCAATCTCTTGAGGTTAGCGACGTAATCAGCAGCTGACTGATGAGGTTCCTGAATGCACTGATTGAACTTAAACCGGCTGAGTATCACTGATTGCTTGGGTGCTAAATGCCGACCCACTCGCTCCAACAACTCCACATATGGAAGTCCAACAGGTGATGCCGGTGACAAAACTGACTTGATACTCGTATAAGTTTCTTGGCCAACAGATGCAAGTAATAAGGCTTTTTTGCGCTCATCCTCAGTGATACCTTGTGCAAAACAAGAAAATTCAAATCTTTCGACATATTCTTGCCAATCTGTACTCGCCTGGTATTCACCGATGCCAATAGCCGACATTCCAGGAGGGCTGGTCACCTTGCTCTCGTTGGTCATCGCCGCCTGTGAGTGGTTGCCTCGTCGCCACTGTAAAGTCCGCGTCCTCGATAGGCCTGTATTGGCTGGCTGCCCGGCACCGACTGACCCAGCCGGCCAGGAATTGGTCGGCGGTCACAAGATCACGTGATCACAGAGGAGGGCGGGGCGCCACTCGCTACAGTGCGGACAGGCCGGCACGGCACTTAATACACTCAGACACTACAGTAGGTATATCAACACATTGTCATCAGTCATCGATACTTTTCACCATAAGCATTTCATGAACGAAGTACAGTGGCGGATCCAGGGGGAGGGGCAAAATGGGCATTTGCCCCCCCCCCCCAACGGCATAATTTTAACATTACGCCAATGGACGATGCATGGAAAGAATCGATAAATTGTTATGGTTTGCCCCCCCCCCCCAAAAAAAAACTCTGAGCTGGATCCGTCTCTGACTAACTACCTACACCCAAATGTCTAAAAAATAGCAGCAAAGCAAATTTTGAGAATTAACCCTCGCCGGCCGAGGGGGAGGGGCGGGTGCCGCCCCCCCATAGGGTTTTTTTCGCGATAGCTCCAAACACGCTGGCGATAGAGAGCTGAAACTTGGCATACCTGACCTTTGATCCAAGCCGCATCTTTTGACACCAACCGCATTTTTGGGTCAGGTCAGGTCACTGACCTATGACGTCATAAGTGAACCTCTGCACGGTCTTCAGATGTCGCAACTTCGCAACGCCCTCACTGCCAGAGGAGATGTCACAGGGAAATGAAACTTGCAGGATCTAGTATCCATTATGAGTCCCACAACTTGTATATCTCGGATTTTTCCTAAAGGTCATATGAGGTCAGGTCATTTTCGTGACCTCACCATTATAAGTCAATGGGGAAAAATGAAAACTGCTATTCTGGCGCCGGGAACGATCTCCAACTATCTCAAGCACACAGAATCGTGATTTTATGCACTCCTTGCAAGGTTAGATGCGTCACTTTTGCAATGTTGACCTTACGTGACGTCATTTATGACGTCATCAAGGTCATATTAGTTTTTCGTCAATAACTCTTGATCAAATTGAGCTAGCGAGTCGGGAAAGCCACCAATGGACTCAGGAAGACCTGCCGAATCGAATGATATGCGACATGACCTCTTTCGACCAGCTTCGTGACCTGGGGGTGCTGATCTGACCTTGACCTGAGGTCAACACCCCAAGTTGACCTGACCCGGACAAAAAGTATATCATTCGACGCGCCTGATCGAGACGAACACGATGCTGCCAAAATCGGCGCTCTGCGGCCGTTTTTTGCGAAGTTATTCACCAAAAACTGAACCTACCTTGGGGCACTTGACCTGACCTCAAAGGTCACCGGTTGACCTAGGACCTTAAAATCGGGTACCAATCTCTGCGTCTCGTAACGGCGCACACGCTCGTTTTTTCCGCGACGCGCTAGCTCCACCAGGGGCGAAACGGCGAGGGGGGGGTCGTACCCGCCCCCCCCCCCTTGGCCGGCGCGTATGTAGAAAACCAATAGGTCCGGCGAGGGTTAATGTGGGATTCTTATTATTGCAGCAACATAAAAACAATGGTAATTGATAATGACCTCTAGCTGCCTGGTTTGTAGTAAAAAAGGCATGATTCCCGAAACTCTCCTTTTGAAAAAGCCGTCATTGCTTCCCTTAGACGTTTATTGCTGTGTAATTCAAGCAATGACGGCTTCCTAGATCTGTGGCAGTTTTGATCGCCGGCAGCCTGTACCGGTGTGCCGGAGCGAGACGGCAGCTCTGCGCGGCAGTTATTAATTCTGCAGCGAGCAGTGACGGTTTCCGTCGCGCCGGTTCGACTGCCGGCTGCATTTCTGGCGGATAATGATCGGCCCGCGCTGCTCGGCGCCGGTGTCGGGTGATCGGAGGTGCTAATTGGCACTGCCGCACTCCGCGCCGCGCGTCAGATCGGATGGCACACAGCGGCGCCGCCAATACGGGGCCTATCTGCCCAGGCAGCGAGACAAGATAGTGGCGCGGATACGCCAGTGCAGCCATATGGCCTACCTTCAATAGACGACTGCTCGTGTCGACAGGCGAACGCGGTGATTTAGACAAACAATTATACCGCAAAACGTTACATTAGCTTGCTGGGTAAATCAGGCAATTATGTGTCATACGGTGATGGACATTTAATATTTTTAGTGAAAATACCGAGAGCTGCAATATAGGTGGCTAACATAAAACAAATTCCCTGAAGCCAGGTGCTCGCCAGACGCCTGACAAAATACAATGCTGTGCCGATATTGAACTGCAATATGTGTCGGCGCGGGTGCTCTAGATAGACGGTCGTAATGTACAATTTGTCTGACAAATTCTGTTCTTTGTTGCAGGGCTCCCGGCGGACTGTGTGCCGGCGCCGGCTGCAGCGCTGGTGTTTATGGTGGCGTTCCTTCTACCAGGTAATTCCACGCTCGTCTCTGCCCTGTTACACACACTTTATTTGATAACGCTGTGTTCTTTAAGAAAAAATGTTTGAACACTGTGTTAATTAGAAAACATTGTAAGGCACGCAAGTACTGGGGCGTTTAATCAAACATAGACTATATGTAGGTTGCTATAGGTTTGGTCGTTGGATCCAGTAGCGGCGGAACACCTTGAATTAAGGGGAGGGAGCACTGGTGACTTTTGGTCCTATTCTTTCCGTGCAACGCCCATAGGGCTGATGTTAAAATTCCAAAATCAAGGGGGGCACGGTGCCCCGATAACCCCCCCCCCCCCCCGTTCCGCCGCCTATGGTTGGATCTTGCATAGTCCGTACCTATACCTGTGTAAAAGAAAATCGGTCTATTCGCCCGTCGCCGCTCTCCGTTTCTCCGCGAGTACGTATGTCTTCTCCACCTGACCGCCGAAGGGACTTCATTCCTTCTCCAGCTGCTGAGCAGACTTGGCCGTCCTGTCTCGGCGCTGCTGCTGAGCAGACTGGGCCGTTTTCTCTCGGCGCCGCTGGTGAGGAGCCTTCGCCTTTTCTCGTTCCATCGGCGCTGAAGCGTGCCAGTCGACCTAACAACCGGCCCGTCCCTTCCGGCGGCACTGACGAGCGACCAAACGACTCTCCTCCGACTCCGTTCCGCTGGCCGCGCCCTCCAGCTGGGCGACAATCATCAATCGCCTCCGCCGCGCCGCCTCTGGCTCGGCCGCGCCGCCTTCGTCGCAGCAGCCGAGCCGAGCAGAGAGCGCGCTGCGCTAACGAGGCGGTCGGCCGTCGCGCGGCGGACGGAACTGATCCGAGGCGGGCGTTCCGGTCACCCGAGACCCAACAGCGCCGGCGGCGACAGAGAGAGAGAGACAGACGGGGTGACAGGGGTCGCTGGGAGGTGGGAGAGAGGGAGTGACAGGTCATGGGGAGGGAGGGAGGGAGGGAGGGAGGGAGAGTATGACTGGTCATTGGGAGGAAGGGATGACAGGGGTCATTCAGGAGGAGGGAGGGATGAATGACAGGCATCATGGGTGGGAGGGAGGGGGTGACAGGTCATGGGGGAGGGATGGAGGGATCAGGGAGGGATGGCAGGGGTCACATGGAGGAAGGGAGGGGATGACAGGCATAATGGGGAGGAGGGAGGGGGAGGAAATGGGGGAGGAGGGAGGGAGGGAGCTGAAGCTGGACTGCCCTGGACCGACGACGTGTTGCCGGAAACTGAAAGAAACAGTAGCGGAACAGATGAAGTAGCAGTGGAAATAGCACAGTGGAGTGGACTGCGGGCCAAATGCCAGCTCAAGAAAGAGAAACTTTCCTAGTGTAAGTACAGAAAAAGGTCCCGTAACTAGAATGGGAGCGTCATAAGTCATCACGAACCTGACCTAGAACAAAAGTTTCAAAGTTCAGAGCACGGCGCTGCTGAAGTTTCGTTGACTACACGCATCAACTGCCGCGAATTGCTGGCCTCATCGTAATCACCGCGCTTTACGACTCCATGTTTTATCCAAATGGGCAAATGGATGCCAGAACCTAAGGGAAATGGTCCTTCATTATTGCATATCTTGCGATGCGGCATGATTTTCATTAAACCACAACATATAAATCATTATTAATAATTAAGTAAAATTAGTAAGTAAGATTAAGTAGAATAAAGGACCAAAGGTCAATTACGTGTTAACAAAACATATACCTATTTGAAAATAAAGGCCACGTCGGAATAAGCTTTTTGTTTCTGTCGCATTCTCACGGTGAGAAAGCATTTCGATGCGATGTTTTCGAAGCGCGCAATGGGATACCAGTGATCATCATTTCCTCCAGCATACTCGAGAGGTGTTTTATCACATATTCAGCAAATATTCTTGGAAACGTCCCCCCCCCTCCCACTGACCTTTTCCCGCGTTCGGAACTCACACCGAACGCACAGGAACGGCCGTTTTAAAGGCAAAGTGTGCCTACTCAGCATCGTTGTAGCCCCACAGACGATTGAACCTACCCTGAGCCGATGTCGAATATATTCATTGCCTTCGGCGTATAGCCGTTAGAGCCAACCGGCTCGATAAGTATGATAGCCGTTTCATCGGGTGAGTGGTCCCGCGATGGCAATAACTAACCATGCGTCCGCTGCGGCACTTGAAGTCGGCCGTTTCCTTTTCGTGTCTCGCATTTCGAATCGACTTCTCATTCGGGAATGGCATTTATCGGAATCGTGTTGGGTAGGCGATGTGCCCAGTGGAAGTTTGGCGTCAGCTGCTGAACTTCAGGACACTGAACTTCAGCGAATTGTTCTTTAGCTAATTTTATTACGACCTCAGACCTGCCTATGAAGAAATTCCAGGGCTCGCTCATGGCGAAGGTTATGCATCGAGATCGTAATGATAATTGGCCAGGTCCAGCGGGTTCAGTGACAAACAGAGAAGAAAGCCTGCTAGCTCTGTCGGCACAACGTCGTGTTACAGTAATCACGTGATAATACACAATGGAAAATTCACGGAGCTGCTCCTGTAATCCGTGAAGTTCACGAAACACATGACAATAGCAATGTGACTGTGTTTGTTTGGAAGGCTGCAGCCAAAGGTCATCGCGTACAGAGTCTGCCCGTGTTCCGAGCGCCTGGAACTGTGCTATTCACTGATAACGTCAACACGGCCACAAGCTATGGCTGTTTTCGGGGGGGGGGGGGGGGGCTGTAGATTTGTCTATCCATTAGCTATTGGGCTGGGTTTGCCGCGCCGCTGGCCGCCCTGTGAGAGGCCATTGTT